CGAGGCGGGTGCTGGGGCTGGTGACAGCCCTGAGGGGGATGCTCAGCCCCGGGGTTTCGGCACCAGGCATTCCACCCGCGCCACTCGCCCGTCTCACCTTTCCCAGCTCCTTTTCCACCCGCTCCCCCGCGACTTGAACTCCCGCCTGGGATTTTGCCCCTGGCTGCACGACGGCCCCTCTATTTATTTTAGCCACTGTTCAGGCCATGTTGCCGGCCAAGTCCTTCCTTCGCTGCCAGACCCAGCCAGATGGGGATAATTAGGCCTAGATTAAGTTAAAGCTTTAACTCTTTAGAAGGCTGCAACGCTGCACAGCCCCTCGCAGCTCCTCTCCAGCTCCGTCCCCTCCCCACCAGCCATCCCATTTCATTCCTTCGTTTAAGGCACACGTTTCTGGAGTGCTGGGAAACCTCCTCGCAACCCAGATAAAACCATTTTTTGCAGGTTATTCACCCCCAAGGCACTCGCCAGCTGCAAAGATGCAGCACGGAGCAGCGCTCCACATCCCTCCTTTCTCCACAGGAGAGACCTGGCCATGGGGGATCTGGTGGGGCTTCTGTCTCAAGGGGCTGCAGACCCCGGGGCCAGGCTGTCGCCTGCTTTGGGACACGGGCAGGGCCACGCCACGTGAGCAGGAATTGCCGTTAGAAGCCAGGCTGGTTTTGCAGTCACGGACCCATTAAATGCCTCGCGTGCTGATCTTACCCATTCAGGAGTGGTTTTTTCCCCCGAACTCATCCCAAGACCCTCACTCACCTCCGCAACTCCCACCAACCTCATCTTCACTCTGGAGCAAATCGCTGCCCCAACAAAGAGCTGAAAAACACCCCAAAAAGCCAATAAAGTTCCTCCAGTCTTTCCCAGCAGGGCACAGGCCCGGTAACGAGCCAGGCAGACCAAGCACGCCGGTGCTCCGCGCAGGGGTGACACGTTCCTGCCCGCTCCCACCCCGTGTTCGCCTCCACCCGCAGCGCAGCCTGTCCAGGCAGAGCTGGCAACGCACTTCAGCCAGGCCCAGCTGGCGCTCAGGGCCTTGCGCTGGAGCCACGGCCACAGGGCAGAGCCAGCGGCGTCCCCAGCCGCCGGGGGACGGTGAC